TCGGTGTTCTGCCTGCACGTGTGACTGTCTAAGTGGACAGTGGGTAGGGCTGTGCTTGACACTCAGAACGTGCAGTGTTGACTCGGCCACGAGAGAGAGGCGGAGGTGTTCCTCGGGCTTGGGCACAGCTCCGTGGACTCAGCTGAGTGACATGACCCTGCCATGTCGGAGTGTGCTTTCTATTTCTAGCTAAGAAGAAGGAGGTAGATCGGCTATTCAGATACTGATCCGTCTTCATAGTGGCTAGCAGGGTAGAGGGGGCATTGGGGCAGGGGCAGAATTTGAACTGAGAAGATAGTAGAGAGGTAAGGTAGAAGGAGGAGACATCCGGGTCAGGGGGGTTTTAAGTAACAGGGCCAGCTGGTACAAAGGTCCTGGGGTTGGTGCAGACTCAGAGGGAAAACCACTGTTAACAGGTGAGAAGGGGCAGGGAATGAGCTGATTGGATGACAAGGGAGGTGAAGGTCAGCATTGAGGCTGTGGGTCTGGCACACAGACATGAGATGGCAGATGTGGCCCCCAAATCTGCTGTGGAGTGTGCATGGCCTTCAGCTTATTTGCAAGGTTAGAGATCAGACAAGGTAGGGTAGACATACCATCCTGGAGGCTGGGGTTCCGTGCACCCCAGCAAAAGTGGCTCTTTGGATGCTCACCCTGGGTTCGGCCATGGACACCGTTAGCCAAGCTGCAGGTCTAGGGACCAGATGCACAATCATGAACCCAGCTCTGTTCCTTGTCACCTAAGAGGACCAAGACCTCCCAGGTGACCAGCCTGGGTCTCCTCCCTCTGTAAAGCAGAAACGGCAGTGCCTTGCTCTTGGGGACCATGTGAGTCCATAGCCCAGGCTGCCCCGCACACTGCGAAGCACAAAGGGCTGAATGTGCTGGTCACCGCTTGCTGCTGTGTGTGTGACATGATAGTACTGGGGACGTATTTGAAGGACGTCTTCATGGCAAGAGGACGCCTGCTCGTACTGCAGTGCTACTTACTCTCTGGGTCCCTCGGGTGGCGGCAGACTCTTCCCCGGCAATGCCTTGAGCTACCAGTGAACTTCCCGCCTGACTCCACACTCAGCTGGGGAGTCTGGGCTCCAAGAAGCATGAGGATTTGGACCCCAGGAACAGTTGGGATCAGGATGCACCCCAACCACTCCTTTGTGGCAGCATGCCCACAGGGAGGCCCACATCCCAGCCTACCCACTCATCCACGCCAGGCTCTAGAGCGGCTGTCACTCAGCTCACCATCTATACAGGGTCCTTTCCTCACCTTCGCTACCTGTTCCTTCCCCCTGAGCCCATCTTCTTGGCTAGGATTATGCAAGCTGAGTCTGGGGGAAGGGGGTGCAGCCTGTATGGGGAGGGGACACACAGGGAGGGGGCACATACCTCGGCCTGTGTATGCAAGCATGCCTTGCACACCTAACCAGATATAATTGGCCCATGGGTGCCTGCTCCCACCCCACACACCTGAAGAAATCAGAACCACCCACAGCAGACTCCAGTTGTCATTGAAAACCCACAGACCGGCCACCAATCCTGGTGGTGGCAGCATGGCAGAGGGGGTGGGGCCGCAGTGCAGGAGTAATTGGTGAACCCAGGGTGAATGAAATAATTGGAAAAGTGAGGTGTGAGTTTGTTAGGGAAGTGTGAGCGTGTGGGGGAGGGGAGGAGGGCTGTGTTTAAAAGCCCGCTCTGGCCTCTTTATTCACAGCTTCTGATACAGTAATTGCTATTTTGTGGTTTCTATTATCTACACAGTGGGGAGCGTGCGCAGCTCCGTCCCCCCAGTGTGCTGGGCTGGGGATGAGTCCCTGGGTGCTGCAGTCTCCCTCTCTCCCTCCCTGGCCCCTGGTGGCCCTGCCCAGCCTCTCCCCACTGACCATGGCCTTGGCGCCCAGGAGACAGGGTTCACGTGGAAGTCCCTTCAAAGGCCTCTTTTAAAAACTGGCCTCACAGACCTGGCCAGCAGATAAGAACCTTCATAATGGCTGGCATTTATATGTCGCTTATCTCCTTGGAACGAAAGGTACCTCATTGATTTTTTTTCCCTCCCCCAACGTCTCTTTTCTCTTTAATTCTCTTCAGCCATCTCTCTGCAGCCCTTGGTGTTGGCCTCCCACATTCCCACATCACACAAGCACCCTGAGCCAGTCTCTTGCCCGCCCTCTCCCTCAGCACCAAGGGCAGGAGCTCACCTCGGACCCGAGTCACTTCTGCCCTCTGCGCCTTGGTTTTCTCATCTGTCAACCAGAAGTGGGGACGGTATCGACCCCAGCATTGTTACATCTGGGAGTGGCAGGTCTCAGAGGCCTGGCAGGTAGCTGGTAGACCCTCCTTTGTAGCTGGGGTGTTGGCAGCAATGACAGTGTCCTGAAGCCTCCCCTGGACATTTCTAGAAATGTCCACAGATACTGGGAAGTTCTTCGGAAGATCTAGCCCTGACTCTCCAGCTCCTCTTCGGCCTGGCTCTCTTGCCCTTTTCTTAGAAGTCGCTTTCCATGGGAGCCATTTTCCTGAAGCTCCTGGGGTCTTCAGGCACATGTTCCCTTGGCCATTCAGTTGGCGGTCTAGAAACCCCAAGCCAGCGTTTTGGACACCCTCAAAGGCTCCCAGCTCCCAGCCCCACCCACCCCAGTTCCACAGTGGCTCCAAATTGTCATGGCTCCCTCACCACACTCTCAGATGCACGTCCTCAGACCACAGCAGCTCATCCCCTTCCTCCTCCTCACCAGCTTCTTTCTCCACCTTTTAATTATTTTCCTTGCTTCCTCCGGCCCCTCAGCTGCTTACCATGCACCAAGCATCCACGGCTCACAGCACGCTGCAGAGGGGAGGGATTAGCCTCAACAGTACCCCCTCCTCTGTCTCCCTTCCCCATCCCCCTGACGTGGAGCAGACAGACAGAAAGGAGGTGCACATGATCCTCCCCACCTCTCCCCCATGATCCTGGGGGGACAGGACAGGCTTGAACTATCCTGTGGCAGAGCCAGGGAGCTCACCCCCTGCTGTGTGTCTCCCCCCACCCCCGCCCCAGAACCAGGCTGCTTCTCCTGAACTCTGTTGGTTTGTAAACTAGGGTGTCAAGACTTGAGGTGATGAACTCCATGGCTCCTTCCTAGCCGCCCCACCTCTCCAGGCTGTCTCCTGGTGTTGGCTCGTTCTGGAAGACACTCCAGCAGCACCTGTGCAGGGCAAGCATAGGGCTCCAGGCTGCAGGCACAGCCACAAGCGTGATCAGTGTGGTTTCTTCCACCGTTGAAGTAACACAGCCCCCCTCTCCCACGCGCACACCCCCCCCCCCCACAGGGACTGGCTGGGACACAGTGGGTGGCGGCATTGTGACGGTGGCTAACAGGTGTGCTGGAGAGCCAGGTGTGGGCATCCTCCACTGTCATCTGTCAGACAACTGGCCTAGTTGCCCCACACTTTCTAGCCTTCTTACATTGGGTATAAAGCCCTGGGACCTGGGCCCTCAATGTCCCCAGAGGTGTCATTGCCAGCAACAGTGACCCAGAGGATGGGTGACCGATGAGCCATTTCTGTGGACCAGCCTGGGAGCAAGCCTGTGCATCCTGGCTCTCCTTATCCCAGGCAGCCCCACAGACGCACTGGGACTGGTTGAGGGACCAAAGGCCATGTCATGGGATGTGTAGGCCTTTAGGTGGCAGAATAAAGCAGGATTTGCCGGCTGCACGCCTCTCTCGGCTCTCCAGGCTTCTCGCCTGACCTGCTCAGACTCAGGACCCCCTCTAAATCAGCTGAAAGCTCCCTCTCAGCAAAGAATCTGGCCAGGCTCCCCTCTGCCGCCTTCCCATCCTGGGGAGGCTGGCCTTGTCCCCAGCTTCATTCCCAGCGGCCTGCGCAGGGGTGGGGGTGGGGGGGGCTGCCGGGGAGAGCTGGACGTGCCGATTCATTTTGAGGCTTCATAATGCTGCATTTACACACCATCCTGCCTTCAGAAATGGGGCCAGCAGATGCCAGCTCATGCTGTCAGGGCTGCGGGTTAACGCCTCAGATTTAACTTATATCATTTGGCGAGTGCTTTCGGCCCGCGCTGTGTTCTTTACCCAATCGGTCCTTGGCCTGGAGCATCCCAGACTATGGCGTGTGGATGTGTGGGCCTAGCAGCCACCAGAGAGTGTAGATTTTCAAATAAAAATAACACCTCTCTTCAGATGCCGAGCACATTAAATATTTATCAGTGGCAGTGCGCTCGTACATATTTGATAAATGGACATTACAAAGGGGTTGGGGCTGGGGTGTGCGGCCGGGGGACCCCGAGGAAGCCCATTCTTTTTGTCCTAGAGTCTTTCAAAGGTTAGTTTGGTGGAAAGGAGAGGGGCCACCCCAAGGGTGGCCCAGGCCACAGTTCCCTGGTCAGTCTGCTCCAGAACGCTGCCTGACTGGCTTTAGCAGGTATCAGAAGGGACGTTTGTGGAGGGCATGGGGCTAGAAGGAACTGCGTGTCTTCCGAGCGCTGAGCCCTCAGACATCTCCAGACCTCAATCCTAGGTTGACAGAAAGGATTCCGTGGCTTGGGGTCGGTGAGCTTAGGCGTGGCACACACCTGTCTCCAGGTGTGGAGGCTACCTGGGAAAGGTCGGGGGAACCCACCGGCGTCCTGAGCCTTGACTCTCAAGCACAAGTCCCTTGCCATGGCTGGGGCCTTCCTGGCCTGGCACAGTGTGTGCAAGACTCATCCCATGGGGAAAGGACAGGTGTCCAGGTGTCCCCCAGGTGGCAGGAGAGGCACCAAAAATTTTCCAGCCTGATGGTACCCTCCCTCCCCCACTTGGTGGCCGGCAGGGAGAAGGAAGCCACGCCTGCGGAGTGAGGGCTGGCGGTGGGGAAGTGGGAAGCCACATGAGTGTGCCTGGGCGGTGGGAGTTCCTGAAACCAGCGATCTCTGGTAACCTGCAGGGATTGGCTCCTGAGTCTCAGTCCAGAACCCCTGCCTCCCTGGCAGGCCTCAGTCTCTGATGTCGGCCTTTTGTCTCTAGCACCTTTGGGGAACTGAAGACCGTGCGCCTGCCAAAGAAGATGACGGGGACAGGCGCACACAGGGGCTTCGGCTTTGTGGACTTCGTCACCAAGCAGGACGCAAAGGTGAGTCCTGTCCCCGAGAAGCACTGAGCCTCTGAGCCAGGGAAGAGTGTCGCTGCCTCACGCTGCCGACTCTTCCCCTGACTACCCAGGATCCTTGGAGGAAGAGCACTGGGTCTGGGGTTTGGAGGGCCGGGTAGTATGTGCTGGTGTGTCCATCATGCACACACAGGAGCCGAGGTTGACCTATTTCTCAGGCTGCTCTATGGCAGGGGAAAGACCCTGGGGCTGAGCGTGGTAGACAGCACTGTTTAAAACAGACTGGGCAGGACTGGAAAGGGTGTCCAGAAAACAGTGTGTGGCATGGGACCTGGATCCCTCCTCAGCCCTCCAGTTGTGGCCGGCTCCATTCTAAGCTATGACATCACGGGCCGCTCCTGCAGCACACATGCACGTGTGCAGATATATCCCTAGTTGTGCAGAGGGCAGCACAGCCTTGGGGGTTGCGCTTAGTTTTGCTTATTTGTTATATATGTGTTTGGTACGTGTGCATGAGTGTGCGCATGCGCGTGCAGATGTGGAGATCAGAGGACAACTTGCAGGAATTGGGTCTCTCCTACCCATAAGTACTGGGGATTGAACTCAGGTCATCAGGCAAGCACCCTTACCCATTGAGCCATCTTGCCATACCCTTGTAACTGCCGCCGCCGCTGCCGCCACCACCACCACTCTCCCCTCTCCCCACCCAGGCTTTGAAGCACAGCAGTGCTTTGACTTCGGGCCCAGGATAGCAGCCAGGCTGTCATCCTGCCAACGTCTGGGAAACACTCTCAGGGCCTCAAGCTCCGAAAGGCCGGGTTGTACAGGACAGGGCTGCTGGGCCATCCTGTACCCCATGCTGAGCGCTGCCCGGGCAGCCGTGGCCTTCCATCGCCTCTGCTTTCCTCAGTGGAAAACAGCATTCGGGACGATTCCCAAATGGTCAGGGCCCCTCCACCGCAAGGGCCGTCCTGCCGAAGAGCAGAGTGGCTCTGAGCGCCAACTGTGGTGTTACAAGAGGCCACAGGGGTGGGGAGCAGCATGGAACAGCAGGGATGGCATAGGATATAACCACTGCGGAGACAGCCTGGGCATCCCACAGGCACAGGGTACCAGTCCCCAGGGCATGGCAGCCGCCCGCATCTCTGTGACCCCACTCCAAGTGCCTGCTTCACTGCCTAGACATTTGTCCTCTCAGCTGGCAACCCTACCCTGTCACCTCCATCAGTGACAGAAGGGACAACACACTGCAAGCTCTAGGTCTTGGCAACCAGAGAAACCCTGTCACTGAAGGCAGTTTGGCCTTCCCTGGCCTTGCCTTGTGCCTTGGTTTCCTTGTCTGTGAAATGGGTTGATGGTGGTACCCCCTGCTCCAGGTTGTGACAGATGGACCTATGAGGCCGGCTCGCTAGCCCATGGCAAATGTTCAGAACCACTTGGTTCTCATTGCCGTAACCCGGGGGCCCTGAGTCACCCGTCCCTCGGGTCTGTGCACACCGGTGATGTCTGGTCAGCAGAGCAGCAGTATGCATGCATACATCAGCAGACATCGTGTGCACTGCATCCTGAACTCTGGGCTTCCCTTTCTGCCCCTGAAAGAGGTCTTTCACCCCCAGCTTGGCTCGCCATCTGTGAAGCCAGCGTGCCTTCTTCTTCCCCTCGGTGTGACCTTGGAAAAGTGACTCACCCTCCCTGCACCTCTCACTTCTGACAGGGCTGCTGGGGTGATGCTCTGAGACCAGGGCCTGGCCCTGCCAGCTCCCTGTGCTGCCCTTGTGTGTGTGTGTGGGGGGGGGGGGTGCTGTGACAAGTGGGGGTTCGGTGCCGGCCCCTTAACCAGAAGCCCTTCTTCTACCCAGTGACTGCCCTGCCCAAGGTCAGCGTCACAGCTGACCTGGCACATAGCCTCAAGGGACAGGCAGGGGGTAGATGTCCACACCCCCACTTCTGTACTACAGCACAGTCCTGAGTCCCCGGGGCCCAGGGCACGCTACACCCAAATGGCTACCCACTGCAGTGGCCCACACGGCACCCAGGCCCGATCGATGTCACTCCTAATCCCAAGTCAGCCCCTCAGCAGTGAGGTGGAAGCTTCTCCCTCCTTCCCTTTCCATCCTTGGCTCCTGGAAGAGAAAGGGCAGCCGAGGACACCGAGGGCTCCACCCACAGCCCTGGAGACCGTCTGTGCCCTCCCCTCAGCGGGGCTATTTCGGGCCTCTCCGTCCTTGCTGCCATCCCCCTGCCCTGCCCTCTGTGCCAGGACTCGCACCCTTTTGTCCCCAGTCAGGTCATCTTGATGACAGTGGCACCGGCCTACAGTCCTTCTCCCACAATAGTCCCTTGCTCTCTTTTCCAGGGGAGCTGCGTCTCTCTCCCTGATCACCTCGGTCTGTCTGCATCCTTGTCACCCGCCATAACTGCGTGCTCCTGGCACACAGTGTGGCCACACCCTGAACATGGAATCATTCACTAAATACGGCTTGGGGATGGGGATTACTCCACAGTGGAGAAAGAGTGGAACCCATCTGAGCTGGAAGGGGCCTGTCGGGCCCCTACCTCTTGGAACATGTTCCCCCGAGCCTCCATTTTGCACGGGATGTTTTAGAGAAGGCCGTGTGGAATGCCTTCTCCTACCTGGATTGGACCCTTCTCCATGCAGAACAGCAGCTTGTCACTGGGTCTGCAACCTTGTACACTAGGAGGCCTCCTCAGGCCATCCTCAGACATAGAAGGAAAACCGGAAGGGAAGAGAGCTGGGAGTGACAGCCACTAGGGCTGAGGCAGGAGGCTGCTGCATTCATTGCTAAATGGAGGATTGTGAGGCCGGAAGGCCCAGAGAGACTCAAGCCTGCCTGGAGGGGTAGGCAACCAGCCTCCACTTCCCCCTACCCCACCACATCTCAGCTCCTGGTATCAGGCTCTTGCCCTGGCCACACCCCATGGAGGTCCACAGAGGCCTGCCGAGCCCTGAACAAGTGCCCACTCCTTATCCTGGAATGAGGAGTTTGGATCTGTCTCCAGGCCTTCCCTCATTCCTCACATTCTCAGGGACCCATCAGACCCCTTCTGAATCAAGTACACAGCAGTGCTGGAGAGCAGACCCAGCAGGAGGCTCCGTGAAGGCCACATGGCAGAACCCAGAGGAACCAGGCACCCAACAGTGATAGGCAGGGGCTCCTGAGGAGGGCACCACCCGTACAAGAGACGTGTCTAGCACAGGCCCATCGCCTGCCCCAGCCCAGTGCACCCCATCGGGCGGAGATTAGCACAGAACCTCCCTCTCCTGACCTTGCACATCTGCACAGCCCCAGGGCCCGCCCCTGGTTGATACTGACTTGCTCAGGCAAATGGGGGAGGCCTGGGGTACCTGCCCAGTCACAGGCACTGGTGACCTGAGCCTTGCCTGCTCACAGGAAAAGGCTCGACATGCAGGCGAATTCTCCCTGTCTAGGACATTCGATCAGGCCCGTGTTCTAGGTAGTAATTGCTGGTCCTGCTGAAGGTTATCTCAACCTCCACGTTTCTCAGGGAACCTAGCCCTGCCAAAGAGGGGAGCCATGGGGCAGGGAGTCAGCCTGGCACACATCCTACCTGCCTGTCACCACTCCCACACCCTTCTGTGGGCCTCTGGTACCTCGGATGATAAAGCCCTTCTGACACCCCATCTTTGGAGTGCCCCCTGGGTATTGGTGGATTGTTTGACAGGTGGGGAAACAGCTCAGTGTTACACAGCCAGGCTCCTCCCTCCTGTTAGGCATTGGTTTACCAAAGTGCTATCCTTCCTCTAACCCCGCCCCTCCCATGCATCCCTGCTACCCAGCTTCAGCACCTCACCCTGGAAAGGGCTCTCTGGGTAGACACACAGAGCCTCTGAAGAGCCTCTGCCTTCTGCGCTGCTGGGCTCCCCCCAGCTCCCCCTCCCCCAGCTCGTGGTGCGGCCCTCCCACCTGGACAGGCAGTGGGGAGTCCTAGGCAGGTGGATTTGGTCCGCATTGGTTAGACAGCCACCAATAGGCACTGGGTTTCCTTTCCATTCAGGCCCCACCTTCCTCTTCTTACATAGCCCAGGCTGGCCCTGGAGGAAGGGAGGGGAAGGAGAGGAGGAGCAGACAGACCCCCAGAACCCAGAATATTAACTGTTCCCCACACGAGGTGCCTTTAATTCTCCCTCCCGAGCCACGCTCCTTTGTACTTTTGTGGTTGCAGCTGTTTTAGCCACCGACACTGTTGTTTTAAAAGACCTATTTTCACATAGAATGTTATCCAATTAGCAGAGCAATGTGTTGGCTTAAATAAACACTCGGGGGGAGCCGGCAGCCGGAGATGCGATGGCGGCTGGCGTTGGCAGGCAGAGCTCTGCTGTGATAAACAACCGCCGCTTTAATTGTAGGGCCACATGCGTCTCCTTCCTCTTTCCCACTTCTCCACCATGGTGGGTGGACGCCCAGGGAGCGAGCGACAGGATGCATGGCCTGAGCTCACGCTGGCTGGTGATGCCATGTGGTGGCGGCAGGCCCTTTGGTGAGATGTGGGGTGGTGGGAGTGGTGATGAGCAGCAGGACAGAGCTTCAGTCACATGTGCTTAACACACAGCTGCGTGATGGTGTGCAAGGGGAAGAACGAGGTGTCAGGACAGCGGGGTGTGCCGGGGATGACCCCCAAGGAAACACTCCTGTTCCAACCGAGCAATGCCAAATAGGATCAGAGTGGCCCATGACGTCAAAGCTGCCTTCCTGTTCCCCATGTGGGTCCCTGAGCCTAGGTGACCCTGCCCCACGGCAGGAGCTGGTGACATTGCCCTCCGGGAGTGGCAGAGCATTGAGAGAACAGATGGTGTGGTGCGTGTGCTGGGGGACGGGGAGGCAGCTGAGTCCTCTGGGCCCCAAGGTTCCCACCGCATTGAAACCTGCATTGACCAGTTGTTCTGTGTCTGCCAGAGCTAACTAACGCAGGCGTCGGGGTTCCATCCCCCTTTCCTGTTTGCATGTGTGTTCATGTTGTGTGCAAGATCACACTGGCATTTG